CTATACAAAAGCCTGGTTCGGCCACATCTGGAGTATTGTGTCCAGTTTTGGTCACCTCATTACAAGAGAGATGTGGAAGCTTTGGAAAAGGTGCAGGGGAGATTTACCAGGATGTTGCCTGGAATGGAGGGAAGGTCTTACGAGGAAAGGTTGAGAGAGCTAGGGCTTTTCTCTTTAGAACGACGAAGGATGAGAGGTGACTTGCTAGAGGTGTACAAAATGATCAGAGGTATAGATAGAGTGGACAGCCAGAGACTTTTCCTAGGGTGGAGGTAGCTATTACGAAGGGGCATAGTTTTAAAGTGACTGGAGGTAGATATAGGGGAGACGTCAAAGGTAGGTTCTTTACTCAGAGAGTGGTAGGGGCATGGAATGCATTGCTGGAGAGGGTAGTGGAGTCGGCCTCATTAGGGGCATTTAAGTGGCTATTAGATAGGCATATGGATGATCGTATAAGGTAGAGGTGGAGGTTAGATAGACATTAGGTTTAGGGTAAAAGTTCGGCGCAACATCGTGGGCCGAAGGGCCTGTACTGTGCTGTACTGTTTTATGTTCCATGTTCTATGTTCTGTTCTATGTAGACCATTGTTCACAGCAAACTACCCAACTTTCAGGACAACATCAACCACAACACTATACAACACTGTCACGGCAACCTCTGTAACACATGTCAGATCATCGACATGGACACTGCCATCACACGTGGGAACATCACCCACCACGTACACAGCTGTTACTCATGTGACTCGGCCAATATTGTCTATCCCATACGCTGCAGGCAAGGATGCCCTGGGGCAGGGTATATTGGCAAAACCATGCAGATGCTCCGACAACAGATCAATGGACACCGTACAACAATCACCAGACAGAGATGTTCCCTCCCAGTGGGGGAACACTTCAGTGGTCAAGGACATTCAACCTCGGATCTTCTGGTAAAAGTCCTCCAAGATGGACTTTGGGAAACACAACAACGCAGAGTCTCCGAGCAGAGACTGATAGCAAAGTTCGGTCCCCATGAGGACACCCTCAACCAGGATCTTGGGTTCATGTTGCACTACAGGTGACCCCACCACACTATATACTCTCTCTCACACACACACACGCATGCATACACTGTCCCTCCCACACACACACACGCATCCACTCTCCCTCCCACACACACACTCACACTCTCTCCCTCACACACACACACTCCCTCTCCCTCATATACACACACTGTCCCTCCCAAACACACACTCTCCCTCCCCCACACACAGACACGGACACAGACACTGTCTCCCTCACACACACACACTCACTCACCATCTCCCTCATCTGCACACAGACACTCTCTTGCACGCACACACACACACACACACACACTCACACTCTCTCCCTCACACACACACACACACACTCCCTGTCCCTCATATACACACAGACACTCATCCTCACATGCGCACACTCTCCTCCTCTCCCTCACACATGCACACACTCCCTCCCGCGCGCGCGCACACAAACACACACACACACACAATCCCTCCCACACACACACACTCACTCACACTCTTTCCCTCGCGCGTATATTCCTCCTCTCTCCCTCACGCACGCACACTCTCCCTCACGCGCACTCTCCCTCTCTCCCTCACGTGCGCAGACACACTTTAGTTCCCTCAGGACCGTGACTTGAAAGGAATTTGGGGATTTACATACACATATTAATCAATAAAACCTTCTAACTGATTAAAGATTTAACAGCATCTTAGGTTTGTTTAGTACACCCTCATCAATGGTGTGAAACATTGATCTTTTATTTATTAATTCTGTGTCTGATACGACTTCTCTCACTAACACCTGAAGAAGGACTGAGGCTCCAAAAGCTTGTGCTTTCAAACAAATCTGTTGGACTACAACCTGTGTTGTGCCATTTCTGACCTTGTCCACTCTAGTCCAACACTGGCATCTCCACATAAAGTCCATGTACAAATGTCTACCGCTCTTGGATATAGCTCTTGGGGCTAAAGGGTTCAAAGGAATGGGCAAAATCAAAATCAAGGGTATGAACTTAGGTGATCAGCCATGATCATAATGCATGGCAGAGCAGGCTTGAAGATTCTCAGAGGACTAGACAGGGAGAGGTTTCAAAAGAGAGCTGTGTATACATTTGAAAGTGATGAACTTAGAAATAGGGCTGGAGAATGGGACTAGCTAGGTAGATTTTTGGGAGCCAGTACAGACAAGATGGGTCAAATGGCTACCTCCTGTCCTGTAAAATTCCGTCATTCTTGGTTGTTTCCCCTGGTGGGAGATACTGGGACCAGAGGGTATGCCTTCAGACTAAGGGGTCACATATTTAAGAGAGAGATGAGGAGAAATCTCTTCTCCCAGAGGATTGTGAATCTTTTAAATTCTTTATCATAGAGGACTGTCGAAGTTGGGTCATTACGTTTACTGAAGGCTGAGATAGGCACATATTTTATCATTAAGGGAATCAAGGGTTATGGGCAAACAGCAGAAAAGTGGAGTTGAGGCTGATCAGAACAACCAGTTTCTCATTGAATGGTGGAGCAGCCTTGATGGGCTGAGTGGCCTCCTTTAGCTTCTTTGACATATGGATCAGACACTTAAAAGAGATAGGATGTAGGCCTGGGTTAGTGTGTAGCTGGGGTTGGGGATGGCACAGATATTTAAGAAGAAGGGCAGTGTGGGTGGACTGCATTCAGAACAGTGTGTGAGAGGCTGATGCTCTCAGGGTTGGGGTGTTGTGTGACGGGGTGGTGATCCTGGGGGTTGGGGTGATGACCCTTGGGGAAGGGTGATGACCCTTGAGGACAGTGGGGTAGGGTTGCTGTATGACAGGGTAATAACTCTCTCTGTCTTGCTGTGTATTGCAGAGACTGATTTGCACGCTGTGATAAAGAAGGGAAATCTGTTGAAGGATATTCACGTTCGCTACATCCTATACCAGCTATTGAAAGCCACCAAGTTTATCCATTCCGGAAATGTTATCCATCGGGATCAAAAGGTGGGACTGTGGAACTGACAAAGATACCAGACAGTCCTGGCTCCGATTCCTTCTCTGTCAGCGTGTGTGGTATTTAGAAATGGCCATCTGCACGTCCACTTTATCCGTGTTATCCTATAGTTCTGTCATGGCTGATGAAATTCATTGAGGAGAAGTGTGAGGTGGGAGGTGTAGTTTGGTAGGAAGAACAATCACAGACAGCGTAAAATAAAGGAAACCACTCTGAAGATGGTGCAGGAGCAGAGACACTGGAGTATAGATGTGCATTAAGGTGGCAGAAAAGGTAGAGAGTGTAGTTAATAAAGCATACCGTAACCTGGGCTTCAATAATTAGGGTAATGACGACAAGAGTAAGGTTACACTAAATCTATGTAAGGCATTAATTCGACCTCAACTGAAATATTTTTCTTGCGACAGTATATAGTAGTCCAACTAGAGGGCTGGACCTTGTATTGGTGAATAAGCGTCCTCACTGTCCACGGGTATAGTGCCGGAAGATTGGAAAGAGGCAAATGTCATTCCCTTGTTCAAAAAAGGGAACAGGGATAACCCTGGAAATTACAGGCCAGTTAGTCTTACATCAGTGGTGGGCAAATTATTGGAAAGGGCTCTGAGAGATAGGATTTATGATCACTTGGAAAGGCACAGTTTGATTCGTGATAGTCAGCATCGATTTGAGGGGTAGATCATGCCTCTCAAACCTTATTGAATTCTTTGAAGAGGTGACCAAACACGTGGATGAAGGTAGAGCAGTGGATATGGTATACATGGATTTAAGTAAGGCGTTTGATAAGGTTCCCCATGGTAGGCTCATGCAGAAGGTAAGGAGGCATGGGACAGGGGGAAATGTGGCAGATTGGATTCAGAATTGGCTGACCCTTAGAAGACAAAGGGTGGTAGTGGATGGAAAATATTCAACATGGTGCTCAGTTACGAGTGGTGTACCACAAGGATCTGTTCTGGGTCCTCTTCTATTTGTGATTTTTGTAAATGATTTGGATGAGGGAGTGAAAGGGTGGATTAGCAAGTTCGTGGACAATACGAAGGTGGGCCACGTTGTGGACAGTGCGGAGGGCTGTTCTAGGTTACAAAGGGACATTGATAGAATGCAGAGCTGGGCTGAGAAGTGGCAGATGGAGCTTAACCCTGAAAAGTGTGAGGTGATACATTTTGGAAGGACAAACTTGAAAGCAGAATACAGGGTTAATGGAAA